GGTACTGTAGTGGATAAGCTGATGGGAAAGGTAGAGAGTTAGCGAATCCTTTGTGCTGCTGCTGGCAAGAAACATCTTTCTGTCTTTGATGCCCGTTGAGTCTTAAACTATGTAGGATTTAGTTACCCGCACATTGCTTTTCCATCGCTCTCTTGTTGATGCTTTATTGGTGTAGTTATCAAATATAACTCGCACTTGGCAATATCCTCGAGCCTTTGAGTCAATGAGTGTGACGAAGGATGTTGCAGAGCTCTTTGCAGTTTTGAAATTCTTTGATTGCCATCAACTCCTGTTACCACTCCCATTCCATCAACTACAAGACACATCTCCAATCCCTCTTCAAACTCGGTGGGCTGTGCAGAAGTTTGAAACTGTGTCGTTGGCCACCAAATCTTCCAGAAGCTTTATCACTGTGCTCTTGTCCGTAGTGGGATGAATAGATCCATCCGGTGCCATGAGAACTTTGTTTGTGTAGGCAAATTCATGCATGCCAATCACTTCTTCCAGATCGACACTCTCGAGATGACCAGGCAATAACCAGCAGTCTGGCAAAGGTCAACACCTCAGACCCTGTGTTCAATTTAATGTCTTTTGCAGCAGACATCCATGTCTTCTGCTTGACTTTGGTCATCTGTGCTCCACAAATTGGCGACAGATGATGCGTTCCTCTACAAACGTTTTGTAAGCTTCCATGCCATTCTCCTCTGTTGCTAGGATACTTGGGTGAAACTTTGTCTGGGATGATCTCCTTTCACATGAGTTGTACATGCAGCCTCTGCAGTCCGAAGTTCTCGCTACCAAGCTCCATTTGAATAAGTTGCAGGGTGCTAACACTGACTTCAGCTGAGCAATGGAGCGTTCTTGGCGGCAATTTTTGACTGAGAGAGTTTGATGAATGCTGTGGTGGGGCAATTGTGCTAGTAGTAGCTACAAGTCGTTCTGACTCATCAGCAAGTCGTGCCAGCTCCGGAGCAGTGAGACAAAACTTCAAGAGCGTTGCTGGGATGTTGTTATTCCAGAGATCCCTCCTTGCCTTTCGTTGATTTGTTGAGGTGTTCCATCGCCTGATCAACAGCAATTCGTGTGAATGGAATACGTTGCTGGTATCACTGCCAAACTCACCATTGGTGAAGCTCTGCCATAGTCTGGATTAGAGGTTTTTATGGCATCCATGCGTGCGATGAACTCTGGAATGTTTTGAGCATAATCTAGCCTGGCATATGCAAAGAAGTACTTAAGTGCTGGCATATGCAAAGATGCTCAAGTGATACCAAGTAGAGGTGCCAGTTACCTTCCCGTATAGCCCTCTGGAACTGTAACAGTGTCATCACCTGCCGCATGTACATCCTAGCCCATTGAAACATTGGTCTGTCTTACGACTAGCGGTCAAAACTCTCGTAGCTGTTTCTCAGATTTGAAGGATTCTATATCCATTTTGAATGCCTAGTGCGCTTCTGCAACGGCCTGTCTTTATCCCGGCATGCTTCAGTCAGTGCTTTACGCTGGCTACCAAGGCACGTCACGTACAAACAGGTTGATCCTCAAGAAATTTCTCCATCACAGAGATCGAAGAGTGCTGAAGAGTTAACTGGTGCGCTTCAGATCGCTCTGTTGTAATGATTGCCATTTAAAATCTGTGATACAGTCACGCGTACCGTACAGATCTGCTTCTTGCCATGCGTCGTCAAGACCTTAAATTATTTAAAACATTTATAAAATTATGACTTGATTAGATATATGTCTTGACTAGAAATACAAAGTTAAAAACTAAAAATAGAGTCCGATTGCGTTTAAAATTTTAAAAATGCGTGGTAAGATTATATATATTTTTTGATAAATAACGTCGAAAACCTGTTTCTATTCATGCAAACAGAGTTCAGATGAAAAGTTGTCTCAACTATAATGCATTTGGTACTCAAACTCTATGAACACATTTTGATTATACGTTTAAAATAATGTTGAATACCAAAAAACCATACAAATCGCTTTAAAAAGCGGCCATTTTGAAATTTAAAATGGCGGCCCTAAATGTTAATGAAAAACTGGCACCCATTTTTTTTCTTAATCAGTGATGTTTCTAGGGGTGTTTAACATGGGTGCCAAGAATCTACCCAAAATTTTGCTTTTTATACATAAGCCCACAGACTAAGTGATGTCATGGCAGTGAATTCGCTACTTTACTGACTTTATCGTCTCATTGACAAGAACAACAAATAAATATCACGGATTTATCGCGAAATAAAACTGCTTTCAAATTCATAAAATCGGTTAACACATTCTAAGAGACACGGGTTTGTGTTTTCAGGAAGGGTAAGATGAAAACGTTCTGGCTAATGACGCAGGAACACGAACGACCCAAGACACACAGCGGCGACGTTTGGAGGCCTATTCGTACGTGCAGGACTAAGCACGCACTGCACCGGCACGCGACGCACGCGACGCACGCACGCACCCCATTACCCCATCACTCGCCGCTACTCAGTGCTTTGGAAGCTCTAAGTTATAGAGCGACGCGACGCATGCGACGAGAGAATGTGTTAATAACACGGTAATCAACATGGTAACCGGGCTGCCATGTATATATAGGCCCTATATACACACAACACACACACACACACACACACACACACACACACACACACACACACACACACACACATACTATATATATAATAATATATATATATATAATGTGTTGTCGACTCGTCTGCGTGCACTGACTGAATTGGGATAATTTCCTTGCACTATTTACCTTTGCTAATATGTCTTGTTATATCCGTATACGTATGTGCTATTCCTAGAAAATATGTGACCCGCTCCAGCCAAAACCAGGATTAAGTAGGAAATTCTACAAATTGAGTTATTGTGCATATCTGAATAGATCATTTATTACCTTTAAAATGATATATAATATTTGGCTATATCTAAAGAATTGACCGATCTACAGCAATTTGAAGATCGGAACCGACTTATTCCGGAATATTGCAGCTTTTGAGATAAAGCGTTCCGGGCAAGGGGCCGCAGTCGGGGATGAGCGGTCAGGGGCCCTTAAAAAATTTTTTATTTTTTTATTTTTTAAAATTAAAAATGACCATAATAATCTAGAGATATCTGAACGCTATATATCCGGATTAAATATGCACTTAGGAATTATTTTTTGTAAAAATCTTATTTTGTCCAGGTAGGCCATTTTCAGCATTGACATGTGTGCGTGCTCATTACATCAAAACAATAACTTGCGGACTTAGTCCGTATTATGCTGGAGCGGCGTCACATTATGTTCTCTCTCTCGGAATTGCCTTTCACATTGTGCTAAATGTATTTCTTTTAAAACCGATTGCTCAACACCTGCCACTATTGAAGTAGATTTATTATTCTCTACTTTTTCTGAAATATATACATATATATTTTGGCTGGAAATCCCCCGAAGAAATTGATGGAATCGCCCGTCTTTGCTAGTATATGTATATATATACATATATTATATATATATATATATATTATATATATATATATATATATATAAATGTAGAACAAATNTTATATATAATATCAAGAGCTAATAATACCTATAGGTATTATTAGCTCTTGATAATATTTGGCTATATCTAAAGAATTGAACGATCTACAGCAATTTGAAGATCGGAAACCGACTTATTCCGGAATATGCAGCTTTTGAGATAAAGCGTTCCGGGTAAGGGGCCCAGTTGGGGATGAGCGGTCAGGGGCCCTTGAAAAATATTTTTTATTTTTTATTTAAAAAAAATTAAAAATGACCATAATAATCCCTTAAAAAATATTTTTATTTTTTAATTTTTTTAAATTAAAAATGACCATAATAATCTAGAGATATCTGAACCTATATATCCGGATTAAATATGCACTTAGGAACTTATTTTTGTAAAAATTTCATTTTTGTCCAGGTAGGCCATTTTCAGCATTGACATGTGTGCGTGCTCATTACTCAAAACAATAACTTGCGACTTAGTCCGTATTATGCTGGAGCGGGTCACATATGTCAGCCATGTGCATGTGTGTAGGTGAGCAACCTAGTGAAGTAGGTCTGAATCAGCAAGGCTCTCACACTCATCGCACGTAGCCGCCAATTAATAGATCAACATTAATTACAGGGGTAGAAATTAACTTTTGAACACGGGAGTCCAACGGACTCCCTACCCCCAAAAAGAGGGAGTCTGCAGCAAAATGAGGGAGTCCGCAGTCTGAGGTTTAAAATTAAAGATAATAAAAATAATGCATGTGCTTATTTTGAAAACGGTTGCACGTCTGCCAAATTTTCTTTGGACATTTGCTGAAATAATATGGTAATTCTGCGAGGCTCTGGAACGAACTAGTTAGTATAGCAGAATTTTGAGGGAGTCACACGGACTCCTACATATGTCAAATCAGGGAGTACGATAGTAAATCAGGGAGTATTTGACTCCAGACTCCCGTTAATTTTGCACCTTGCGTGACGTAGCTTCCGACATTACATCATCATCTCATCACGCTGGCTTAGCTCATGCCGTGTGACATATAACGCTACTGTAACAGCAGTAGATATTAAACCACACAAAAAACTATTCGAAAGTTTCGCGGAAATCTCGGACTCTCTAGCTTCGAAAAAAAAACCCTCTTTTAAGGCATGACTTTGAAGGCTTAGTCGGGCGTTTCCTCTATTTTAAATGTAAATACATAAATACGACTTTATTAGTCGACACGAATATGCCGTCCGCTTGTTTAGATGTTCAGTTGTTTAGACGTTCGCTTGTTTAACTCGCCGCCTGCGTCGTTTCGACCCAGCAGGAGGAGCAGCGGCGGCGCGATAGCGTCATGTCGTCGTCGGCGCCGGAGATTGGTGGCGCCCCCGCGCGGGGCACCGAGTACAACGCGCAGTACTGCAACTGGTCGGCGTGCAGCAGCCCCGTGTCTGAGCACGCGGGGGCGCCACCGCGCACGGCGTCCGTGGATCGCGCCCGCACACCGCAGCGACGGCCCGAGACCGCCGCCCCGCACGTGCCGTCCGTCAAGTCCGACCCCGGCAAGGCGAAGAACAAGCTCAGGTAGGGGGCGCCGCTGCTGCATGTACAGCGCGAGGTATTTGACACTAGCCACCTCGTGATGTAAACTTGTTCCCTCACTGTGAGGCCAGGAGCGGCAGCTCAAAGAAGTTCATCGGGTGAAAGAAAGACGGCCACTTGTCCTGTTACAGTTAGCTGTGTCGCATCTGAACGAATAAACAAATGTACGCAGTGGGTCATAAGTAATGGGCAGGGAACCAACCTACCTCCGTACTGAATTTCAGCTGTGTGAGACTTAGCGAACTCTCAGACATTAATAATACCCCCCTGTTCTGTTTCCCTCCTCTACAGACCTCCGTCGCCCACGGAGTCTGTGAAGCAGATAGCTGATGGGGGTCAGGTGCAGTACAGGCCACACACGGCCGAGAGACCCAGGTCACTGGTGAAAGCCAGGTGTGTGTACCGCGTAGAGTTGTTGTTGTTGTTGCCAATTGCTGTTGTTTCCAATGTTGTTGCAGTTGTTGCTGTTGCTGGTGTTGTTTTCTGCATCGTCATTGTTGTTGTTGTTGTCGGTGGTCATGGTGCTGCTGCTGCTGTTGTTGCTGCTGCAGCTACTGCTTCTGCTATACTACTGCATTGCTATATCATCAACATAATCATATATCAAATAGACAAATCAAACGATATATAATCTTTCCGATCGCAGGAAGCAGTACAAGTCGGAATACCTGGAGAAGTTTGTGCCACCGTGGAGCTACGAGTACGACCATGGAGAGTGGAAGAAGGTGAAACAGGTGAGAGGAGAGTGGAAGAAAGTGAAACAGGTGAGAGGAGAGTGGAAGAAAGTGAAACAGGTGAGAGGAGAGTGGAAGAAAGTGAAGCAGGTGAGAGGAGAGTGGAAGAAAGTGAAACAGGTGAGAGGAGAGTGGAATTAGGGTTAGGGAGTAGGCGCCTCCCTAGACTAGCATTATATTACATTTATGTAATACAACATGAACAGCGCATGCGCAACAACTGCTCGGACGATCATAGCGCATACGAACAGGTGTCCGATGCTCGGACGAATATCCATGTCCTTTGATGTTATTTCCTAAAATAACATCAGAATATAAAAAATTTTAGGGCACAATTTATTGGTCTAGGCGGCCATCTAACTGCGAACCCCTGACCGGCCCCTCCGGTATTGCACATACTGGCGCGCATTGTTACAACTGCCCCCCCTAGTTCCAATATGTGCTAAACTATGTTAATAACAATTAATATGCTATTCCAGGGTTTCCCGAAACTTTTAACACACATCGGGTCTGACATTCCTTCGAAGTTGAAGATAATTTGAGGCATCCCATAAATTCTCCGCCACGCCATCCATGCGCCGGGCATCCATGTGGGGGGCGCCGGTCCATGCCTTATTAAATTTCCATCTTCGTTTACTTTTGACAATCCCAACTCAGCCATGCTGTGATTTCACAACTTGACGCATACGTCTCTGAACAGATCGAGTTTACATGCATATTGGGGGCCGACAGGTGTGATTACCGCCATTTGGTACAACCGGTCCTGGGCCCTCCCCAATCCATCTGTAAACGACATGGCTTCTAAAATATCTTGTGGAGGACTTTATTCCTACTACACAGTTGACATTCTTTCAATTCAGTTCAATTCAATTAACTTTATTTACAGTTATGACAATTACGTTTTGTTGGATTTACGGAAAATATGTGGTCATATACCAGGTTATTGACAAATTAACCGGCATAAGATAATTTGTAGTCGTGTTTACGCGATTATACCGCCATCTATCTGTTGACATTCTTCCACCATACTTCTCTCAGAGCTCGGAGTATGACGAGCAGTACAAGTGGGTGGCTCCGCCGAGAAAGGAACCCAACGAAGCGTCGCGGAAAGCGAGGATCGATCATGTGCAGGAAGGTAACTCTCATGTTCTAGGTTTCGATACGTGGGTGCGTCACGTTTCGGCCCCTCGCGTGCAAAGTAACGTGATTGGGCAGAGACAAGATTGCGTAATATTCATTTGCGTATGTGATTTGGTGATCACCAGTAAAGCGTTATTCAGTTATGCAGGGTGCGAAATTAACGCGAGTCCGTAGTCAAATACTGCCTGATTTACCGTCGGACTCCCTGATTTGACATATGCAGGAGTCTGTGTGACTCCCTGAAAATTCTGCTATACTAACTAGTTGGTTCCAGAGCACGGCCTCCTTATTATTCGCACGCGAAATTACCGTATTTCTTCAGCAAATGTACAAAGAAAATTTGGCAGACGTGCAACCGCATGAATCTTCAAAATAAGCACATGTTATTGTTAATATCTTTAGTTTTTAACTTCAGACTGCGGACTCCCTCGTTTTGCCGCGGACTCCCTCTTATTGAGGGCAGGGAGTCCGTTGGACTCCCTTTTTCAAAAGTTAATTTCTACCTGGTTATGCATGTAATAATAATGTAATAATAATAATAATAATAATATCATCGGGAGTAAATAACATGTACAGTTTAAAATAGGCCTATAGGTATAGACTATAATAGGCTGTTAAAAATAACCCAATTATTTACCCCTGATAATATTAATAGTTAGCAAGAATAAAAATGTAATAATAATAATAATAATACCAGTGATGATATTAATAATAACAACAGTAATAACTTAATAATAGTAATAGTAAACGATAACTCACCAGCTCCTCCTTGACACCTCCTCCTCCTCCCCTTGGCAGTGTTCGATTACAACTACTCCGCGGGCAGGGCCGGCGGTAAGACGCGCTCGCTGGATCGTCCGCGGCCGGCGTCTGCCGTGCCGTGGGAGCGGGAGGAGCGAGGACGCAGCCGACACCGGACACTGAGCGGGCCGCAGCCGGCCGCGCCGACACAGAGCAAGCCTGCCGCGGGACTCCGCACGAAGCACGTGAGCGAGTCGTAGAGTGGGAGGAGGGGAGGAGAGAGAGGAGGAGAGAGAGGAGGAGGAGGAGGAGAGGAGAGAGAGAGAGGTGGGGCAAGAGGGAGGAGGAGAGAGAGAGGTGGAGAGAGAGGGAGGGAGACTGTGCCTGTCGTGGGACTCCGCACGAAACACGTGAGCGAATCGTAGAGGGGGAGGAAGGGAGGAGAGAGAGGTAGAGGAGAGAGGAGGAGGAGGGAGAAGAGGAGAGAGAAGTGGAGGGAGAGAGAGAGGTGGAGAGAGAGGGAGGGAGACAGAGACTGTGCCGGTCATGGGACTCCGCACGAAACACGTGAGCGAGTCGTAGAGGGGGAGGAGGGGAGGAGGGGGAGGAGGAGGAGAGAGGAAGAGGAGAGAGAGGAGGAGAGAGAGCGAGAGAGAGGGAGGAGGGAGAAGAGAGGTGGAGAGAGGGAGGGAGATGGAGACCGTGCCGGTCGTGGGACTCCGCACGAAACACGTGAGCGAGTCGTAGAGGAGGAGGAGAAAGAGGAAGAGAGAGAGAAGGGAGGAGGAGAAAGAGGAAGAGAGAGAGAAGGGAGGAGGAGAGAGAGAGGTGGAGAGAGAGGGAGGGAGGGAGACTGTGCCTGTCGTGAGACTCTGTATGAAACACGTGAGCGAGTTGTAGAGGGGGAGGAGAGAGAGGAAGAGAGAGAGGGAGGAGGGAGAAGAGGAGAGAAAGGGGGGAGGAGAGTGAGCGAGTCGTATTGTGGGAGGAGGGAGGGGAGTAGAGAGAGAGAGGATGAAAGGGAGAGAATGGGGGGAGGAGAGTGAGCGAGTCGTAGAAGGGGAGGAGAGAGAGGTGGAGAGAGGAGGAGGAGGGAGAGAGATGAAAAGAGAAAGAGAGCAGATGAGAGAGAGAGAGAGAAAGAGAGAGAGAGAGAGAGAGAGAGAGAGAGAGAGAGAGAGAGAGAGAGAGAGAGAGAAAAAGATTGCGAGACAGCAAACACAAGCGATAGATTTTTTCCCAAAATAAAATTTGTCGAGAGAAAAAACGTAAAAAGTGTGACTTCTCCCGTACCCTCCCATCTCCTCACTGACATCACCCGTTTGTGTTTTCCCACGTTTGGTGACCGCGCAGGGCTACCACATCGACCCACACGCCGTGCGACACCACGATGGCAGACGCTCCGTCTCCGAGGTGAGGGAGCCACCGCGCAAGGAGAAGTCGGACACGAGGAGTTCTCACGCCAAGGTAGGTTTCTTCATTTCTCGACATTCTGCCTCGGCGTCTCGGGCAGCGGTGGCTCCATCGTGTGGCTATTTAAACAAACTCAGTGCATTGAGCGTGTTGGAGTGATACTTGCAGTGTCTCGTGCACTTGTTCACTTGTCAGTTATGAACCTGTTATAGCTATGATGTTAGTTATGTATTAGTTATGAACCTGTTATAGCTATGATGTTAGTTATGTATTAGTTATGAACCTGTTCAGTTATGATGTGTTGATCACAAACTACCCGAAGTGGAACATTCATCATCGATCGTAGTGTGAGCACGTCTAGCGTTTACCAGCAGTATCGGGTTTACAACGCGATTATAGTTCGCGTTTAATGTACGCAACGACCACACGATGGCGCTACTCGTCATCTTCCCTACGTCTCATCTAATATATCTCATTTCGCCCCGTAGTCTGTGAGCGCGCGTACGCTCCCATCTCTTATCGCACACTTTGCTCACCAGGAGGACCCGGCGCTGCGATACCGCGCAGGCGAGCGGCGAGCAACGCGCGGACAGACGAGCGAGTACTCGCGGCAGTTCCACGCGCGGACGCCGCTCGAATCGCCGGTCGTCGCCGCCGCGGGCAAGGTAAGCGTGACGACGATCACGTCCCCCGCGCGCCGCGCACGTGCTGTCATCGTAATGCAGGGGTAGAAATTAACTTTTGAACAAGGGTCCGTTCAAAAAGAGGGGGTCCGCAGCAAAATGAAGGAGTCCGCAGTCTGAAGTTGTAAATTAAAGATATCAATTATCAACGCATGTGCTTATTTTGAAGATTTAATATTAAAATTTAACTAACAAGAAATCTTGGTTTAGTATAGCAGAATTTTCAGGGAGTCACACGGACTCCTGCATATGTCAAATCATGGAGTCCGACAGTAAATCGGGGAGTATTTGACTCCGGACTCGCGTTAATTTCGCACCCTGGTATAAATGTGACGTCAAAGTCACACACACGGGCAAAAACCTGTACATCAGACCTGTATGTCAATCACATGCAGTTAAAGACCTGCNAGTAAATAGTACATAGTCTGTGCACACATATTTTACACTAAACACACGTGTATAGTCTATGCATGCATAATATATGTGTGTCCTTCAACGACTTATTAAGAGGAAAAGGATTATATATGTTATATAATTATTTTAGGCTATGTATGCAGCGATCACGTTCTCAATGCACCACCGTATATATTCTAGGTGTTAGTTACATCTCTAGCTGAGTTCAAGCGCTGTTTGCTGCGATCACATCTTACTCACACACAGTATTCTCCGCGCCCTTCCTGTCTAACCGTTACGACGGTTGCTTTCCGCAGTCTCGCGTCCGCGTCGGCCATGTCGCAGGACTCCCTCGACTCCGTCGCGACGCTGCAGTCGCACACAGGTGGCGCCACCGCCGCTGCTGCCGCCGCAAGTCCGAAGAAGCAGAGAGGCGGCAAGACGACGCAGCGGCAGCGGCAGCAGCAACAGCGTCCGCACACCGTCGCCGCTCCAACGGGTTAGTATTTGATTTCCGCTCGAGTTCGTCGCTAACTTTAAGCTCGGTGGCATCCGGTGATAAGCTGATCGAACACAGATGGGGTAGTGCAGTATATTCTGGGTCCTGGATCAGAATTGCTCTGCGATAGGGGCAAAAACGCTGCTTAGTAACAAATGCCGTAAAGTCGACATTTTGGCGGGAACACATAAAAACACGTGCAGATTGTTCTAGCACGACCGACCTGGTGACAATATCCAAGGTGACATCGTTATCTCATTCGGATGGACAGTTCGATCATAGGCGCTACTTTACCGTCCGCATTCAAGAACATTTGACCCCCCAAAAAAAGTTAAATTAACTGATGCCTATAATGGTATCCCCGCGACGAAGCGGCGGGGAATACTATGGGGTTCATGTCGGTCAGCCGCCACCGCAGACATTTTTCTTCCGCGCTAGAACTCGACCCCTAATGATGTAGCGGACCAAAACATCAGTCTACTTACACATCTGGGGAAGGTGTCGCAGACCAAACCAGGTCACGGCCCAACCTTTATTTGACAGTGACCTTGCCGGCAGCAGAGTCTCTTCCGTCTAGATACGGCCCCCTAGTGACTAGCTTGCGAGCAAACTTCGCTATACTTACCATCCTTGGGCCGAGATGGGGCGCCGTACCAAAACCACGTCCACTGCGGCTCTTTATTTGGACCTTAACCTATGACCTTGATCATATGTCTCTTCCGCTCTATAACGCGGCCCCTAATGACCTGAGAAACGCGACCAAACTTAGGAAGGACGTACACATCTTCGGGGGAAGGTGTGTCGCATACCGAAACCAGGGACTGCACCCTGTATTTGACATTTGACCGTTGACCTTCAATCATAGTTCGCGTCCGCTCTAGAAAACTCGTCCCCTAATGACTAGCAAACCGAGCAAACTTCGCTATACGTACACATTCTTGGGGAGAAGTCGCGTACCAAAACCCCCCTAAGGCAACAATTTTAACATACTGAGCACATCTCAGCAGATGAGTTTTGCAACAAACTTGGCTTTGCCGGACTTATTGAACTGGACCGACCGTCTACGTCCTTTACAGGATATTTCATTCAGATACTAGAGCACCGGGATACATGTAGTTGGCGACAACTGCCCGTTCAGTTCATTAACGAATGCGGGAGCGAGGAATCGTGTATCGCATGCTGCGAGGAAGGCGTGTGTGAACACGGGTTAGGTGAGGACAGACGCGAATACCGCGCTCGGCCTGAAACGTCAATTTGCGGCATGTTTCTCCTGACCAGAAAAGCGTCTTGAGGTGCTAAAAAGCAGTTTTGCGTGTGTTTGCGCCGTTTGACGTCCTAGCCAAAGCGATGCCCACCGCAGGTGCTCACCCAGTAGGGCGGTCCAGGGGCCAGCCCCCCTCCGCAAGTCTTTTTGGAAAAACCGTGGGAATATTGCGTGCATGTCGAAGCATAGGTGCGATGTTAGTTCAATAAAGCTGACGTGATTGAGAGAAGAACTGATGGCCCGTCAGCCTGGCGGGTGTGGACAAATTTCGGTGTGCGGCTGAGATTTTAGCGAGGCGCCTGCCTCGCGGGTGTCATGCAGGGGAAACACGGCGCACGGTACTCCGCGCGGCTTGTGTAAACAGGCACCATCGCAAGTACATCAAAGCTTGATTTGCTACGCGCGCTCACCCTCGCCGTCCACCTGTTCGCAGCAGCGCCGAAGAGTTATATTGATACGTGATATTGTACCGTGCGATCACCTCGCGTCCGCCTTCGCAGCAGACGCGAATAGTTATATTGATACGCTTGATCGTGTACGTGCGCAATCACCCTCGGGCGGCGCCGGCTTCGCGAGCCAGCGCGAATATGTTATTGATACGGGAGGTGTACGAGGCGATCACCCTCGCGGCACCTGTCGCGCCCGCGCGAATATTTATAGGGATACGGTTGATTTGGACGTGCGATCACCCTCGCGTCCGCCTGTTCGCAGCACAGCGCAATATTATATTGATACGCTTGATTGGATACGTGCGATCACCCTCGCGGTCCACCGTCTTCGCCAGCCGCGCGAAGTATGTATATTGATACGGTGATTTGACGTGCCGATCACCTCGCCGTCCGCCTGTTCGCCAGAACGCGAAGATGTAATATTGATACGTTGATTAGGTACGTGCGATCACCTCGCGTCCGCCTGTTCGCAGCAGCGCGAATATTTATATTGATACGCTTGATTGTACGTGCGATCACCCCTCGCGTCCGCCTGTCGCGCCAGCAAGCGCGAATATTTATATTGATACGTTGATTTGTACGGGCGATCACCCTCGCGTCCACCTGTTCGCAGCCGCGCGAATATTTAATATTGATACGTGCATGGGCGACGGGCGCATCACCCTCGCGCGTCGGCCCGCTTCGCAGCCAGCGCGAATATTCTATATTTGATACGTGATGTGTACGTGCGATCACCTCGCGGCCACCTGTTCGCCAGAGCGACGAAATATTTATATTGATACGTTGATGCGGTACGTGCGAATCACCTCGCGGCCACCTGTTCGCCAGCAGCGCGGAATATTTATATTGATACGTTGATATTGTACGTGCGTCACCTCGCGTCCCCTGTCGCAGCCAGCGCGAATTATTTATATTGATACGGGGATTTGTACGGGCGATCACCCTCGCTCCACTGGTCGCAGCAGCGCGAATATTGATATTGATACGTTGATGTGTACGCTGCCGATCACCCTCGCGTCCGCCTGTTCGCAGCCAGCGCGAATATTGATATGATAACGTTGAGTGTACGGGCGATCACCCTCGCGTCCCGCCTGTGCGCCAGCAGCGCCGAAGATTTATATGGATACGTTGATGTGTACGGCGATCACCCCTCGCGTCCCACCGGGTAGCGCCAGCAGCGCGACTATTTATAATGATACGGCTGATTGTGTACGTGCGATCACCCTCGCGTCCGCCTGTTCGCAACAGCGCGAATATTTATATTGATACGTTGATGTGTACGTGCGCTCACCCTTGTTCTTGCCTGTTTCGCAGCGAGCAGAGCAAGGAAGCAGCCAGAGCCACGGCAGGGCAAGCCCGCGGGGCGCGCGAGGCCAGTCAGACCGCTCTCACTGCCACTGGACGACAGCTCCGTCAATTGCGACTGCGGTGCTGACCAGGGTGAGCGATCGCTACGCAGTAGATATACTATGCAGAAGGATACGCAGTAGTTAGCGATTACTTATAGGAATTACTTAATACCTAACGACTTATAATATATAACTTAAATAATAACTTACTATAATCAAGAGGAAGCTTTGCTGCACACACATCAGCCTAAAATCTCAGTTGGCAGTATTCCAAAGCAGACAATTGAATGTAGCCTTTAGTAGTAAGCGTAGTACTATCGAGTAGGGTGAGTTGATCATTGATCTATTGAGTAGGTGAGTCATCAAGCTCGTACATGGGAGCTAGAAAAGATTTCACTGTCATAAAAGTGAAGAACCTAATAGTTGAATAACCACATAAATACAGCGAACCAATTAAACCACTTAAAAATATCTGAAAAATCCATCCGAGCTACAAAAACTCGCAAACAGTCCCTAAAACCATGCAATCCACATTCTCGCGGGAATTGCCGAAAATGCCAAAAATACCAACACAACAAACACCCGTTCATCCTCGCAGCTGACACCCCCGCCGCTGCCTCTACTAAACTCCTAACCCTAACCCTAACCCTAACCTTAACTTTCTAACCCTAACCCTAACCCTAGCCTTAACCCCAACCCTAGCCCTAACCCTAACCCCAACCCTAGCCTTAACCCCAACCCTAGCCCTAACCCTAACCCCAACCCTAGCCCTAACCCTAACCTCAAACCTAGCCCTAACCCTAACCTCAACCCTAGCCCGACCAGGCTGTGCGACGGATTGTCTATACAGTATCCTATACGGTATCCTAACCCTAGCGATACCGTTTCTTGGAGCTAACCTCAACCCTAGCCCTAACCTCAACCCTAGCCCTAACCCCAACCCTAACCCTACAACTGACCATAATCCTCCCCCGGCGCCGACGC